GGGGCCACTGAGCTTTGGCTGGTATTGAGGTAGCCTGACCTCTTGGCCTCTTGTCCCCAGACGAAGGCCTTCATCCACCATGAGCTGCTGGCCTACCTGTACTCATCAGCGGACCAGAGCAGCCTCATGGAGGAGTCTGCTGACCAGGCCCAGCGGCGAGACGACATGCTGCGCATGTACCACGCACTCAAAGAGGCGCTCAGCATCATCGGTGACATCAGCACCAGCACTGTGTCCACACCCGTGCCCCCGCCTGTCGACGACACCTGGCTCCAGAGCACCAGCAGCCACAGGTCTGGGAAGCTTGGTCCCTCATGCGCTGCCTACTCTACAGTGTGTGTAGGGGTTATAACCAGGGTGGGCAGAGGGAAGGAGCCCCAGATGGTGAAGCACCCAAACTGCGTGGCTATCCTACCGACGGTATCAGGGAGACGGCTTCAGTGAGCCGACTGTTCACCTTCCTGGCTTCTGGAGCTTTCCATGGCCCAAGTGGCAGTTAAGAGCAAGGGGCCTGGGTGAAGCCAGGCTCGGGTGGCTCACACCTGTAATCCTAGCTTCTTAGGAGGCAGAGATCAGGAGGATTGTGGTTTGAGGCCAGCAAATAGTTTGTGAGACCTTATCTCGACAAAACCCATCACAAAAAAGGGCTGGTGGAGTGGCTTAAGGTGTAGGCCCTGAGTTCAAGACCCAGCACCACAAAAATAGACCCAGGTGACACCAGCCATAGAGGGTCAGCCTCCTGGAGCATAGAGAATCGCAAGTGGAAGGTGGTTATGGAAGCCCAGAACTATCATAGAAACAAGATCCATTGGCCTGACCATTGGGGGCTTTGGGCAGGGACCCCTAACAGTGACACAGCAGGTGGTGGCTATGACTGACAGGGTTGATCAGGTAAATGTCAGGGTGGACCCACTGAGTCTGCAAGGTGCCATGGAGTCCTTTGGGAGAGGATCCAGCATTCATGCTTGAGGAACAGCATGGAGAACAACAGGGGAGCCTGTGGGGCGTGAGCAGGCCCTGGGGAGCACTGTCGGGGTAGGGCTGGGCTCTGGAAGGTTCTTGGGAACCACCGGCCACAGCTCCCCATGTGGGCCCCAAGCAGCACATAGTGCTCACATGGCTTCTCCCCAGCTCACAGCCTGTCACCCCATCCTTACAGCCCCACTCCACAGCGCCGGCCCATGTCCAGCGTGCACCCGCCCGGCCGGCCGCCTGCAGTGCGGGGCCCCACACCAGGGCCCCCCCTGATTCCCGTGCCTGTGGGGGCCACAGCCTCCTTCTCAGCGCCCCCCATCCCATCCCGGCCTGGACCCCAGAGTGTGTTTGCCAACGACCCCTTCTCAGCCCCGCCTCAGATCCCGTCTCGGCCAGTGCGGATCCCCCCTGGCATCCCCCCTGGAGTGCCCAGGTAAGGCTGTAGTATACCTCACTGGCTGCCTAGGCCCCAGTGTCCCTCACCTCTGTCTCCCTCCTAACACTCTCCCTCCATGGCTGAGCAGTCCATAGAGGAGCAAAACCACCCCAGTTGATCTGGTAGGGAACTAAGGCCAATGCCTTGAACCAGTGTCACAGAGTGGTGGAGTCAGGGTGACCCTAGGTTCCTAGCTTGCCCTCTTCCTACACAGTGGGCCATGTGCAGCTTGGGACCCTTCACACTGTCCGCCTGCTGCCACCACTCACCTTCCTGGGGACCCGTATGTGGCCTACAGCCCACACTCTATTCTCGCTACTTCTGTGAGGACCCGGAGGTGCAAGGAGGGCCAGGGATTCACCCAGGGTCACAAGCAAGCAAGCTGACCACAGGGACACCAGGCAGATGCCTGGGTTTGGCTGAACATCTCCATACGCCAGCTCTAGGGGTACATGGGGTGGGAGGGGGCTGGGTCCTTGTCCTTGTCCTGCATCCAGCCTCACTACCCTCTCCCCTTCCCATCTGTCTCTATTCTCTCTGCAGCAGAAGACCCCCGGCCGCACCGAGCCGGCCCACCATTATCCGCCCAGCCGAGCCATCCCTGCTCGACTAGGCTGCACGGGGGGTGCATTCTCAGGGGGCCTCGCACACCTGCGGAGCAGGAGCTTCGGTCTGGGGCTCTCCGCCACCCCATGCTGGGACCAGGCTCCCTGGGGGCAGCCCCTTCCTCCCTAGCCACAGCCCAAGCAGGGGCTGACCTGGCCCCCATTTCTGGCTGGACACCGCACTGAGGGGCCCTGGAGTCCCAGGCATGGGCGGCTAGGGCTTTGCACTTTGGGGATGGGATCTCAGGGTGGCAGAGCAGGAACTGTCCCCTGGGTGCCATCTTGAACAGCCTTCTGGAAGGTGAAGTCCCCAGGGCGTCGTGGGGCACAAGGAGTATGCCACCGCTTTCCAGGGGCTCCCCACGGGCCATTGGACCCAGCCCTGCCCGCCTGGCCGGCCCAAGCTGTGCCTGTTCCTTCTTTGGCTACATTAACCACACAGCCTGAGCCCGGCCCACCTAGGCTGCCGGAGGTGCCTTCGCCAAACTCAGAGCTCTTGGCTCCCTCCTCCTCCTGGGTCCTCCAGGGTGACTTGGGCTCTGTGGATTGGGGGTGTTGGGGCCTCTCTGCTCCCACCCAGGCCTCTCCCACAGGGAGGGCCCTGGTGCCTCTCTCTGAGCAGAAATGTGCTCACTCGCTCGGTTTGACCACTGTAAGTGCCTGCGCTCTGTATCCTATTAATAAACTAAAATAAAAGGAAGAACCTTCTGGTGGCTGCTGTGTGGGCCTTTTGTGTCAGTGTCCAAGTTGAGGACACTGCTGTCTCTCCCACGGGGAGCCCCCACACCTCACTCACTGGGGTTTCACTTAGCTCTGGGAGCTGTCACAGCTTCTGGTCGCATGTTCTGGAGAAATCCATGCTCTAGGGGTGGCTTTTACTTTGCTTAACCTCAGGAGTGGGACAAAAGTTCACTCTTGCCGGTCACCGCCACCTACACAACAGGTCTGCTAGGTTACTACACATTCCATGGTGCTCATTTGAAGCCACACCTTGGGCCATACTGTGGTCTGGCCCCTGCCTACCTCCAGGCCCCTCTTGCCCTTTTGGGGGGGGCGCCAGACCCTCTGGCCAGCCAGAGACATAGTCAAACTTTGCTTTCTGATTTTTCTTTTGTGCCAGGCGACCTCCTCCATCGGCTCCTGCCAGACCTTTCTTCTGAGCACCGTGGGAGACTCCTCCCGCCTACCTGGCTGCCCCCTGAGGGCAGGTCTGTCCTGGCCAGTGTCCCTGACCCCAATCAAAAGGCTCTGTGATTGATTTTTGTGATCATAATTTATTCACTCCAGCACCCAGGCCGGATGCCCTTTGTTCCTTGAGGCTCCTGGACAGGCTTTGGACAAGCCATCCCTCAGCCCCAGCTGGGGCCCCTACAGGTAGAGGGCGAGGGCCAGGTGGTCTTGCAGGGCCCCCCTCCTGGAGTTCTGTTACCAGACAATATATCCAGCGTGCCCCCCGCTGGGCGAGGGGCCTGGGTCCCTTTCCTGTCAAATAAAGTGACTATCCTGGCAAGAACTCTGCAGCTGTGTGTCCTTCCTGGAGCAGGCCTCAGGGTCCCGCTACCACGGCCTGGCTTGGAGGGCCCAGGAGTGCGAGGCCCAGGCACCAGCCTGCTTCCTGGTCCACTCCTTCACCAGGGCCCTGGCAGCACTGATGCCAGGTGGAAGACTTGAGTTAAGGCACATTATAAAGAGGAGACCAGGAAATCCACAGGCTCCATTCCTACAGTGCGGTACCTATCATGCATGGCTCCTAGGAAATCAGGCACCTCCACTGAGCCACCACTCCCAGACCTGCAAGCCAGCTGCACTTGCTCCTTGCCTGGGCCAGGAAGGGAGATGCATGGGGCCACAGCTGAGACCACGACTGCACAGCCTCTTCTGCAGGAAAGTACATCTGGGAGGGACCTCCCCCATCCCACATGCCCACCACCCCTCCATTTTAGCGTTCACCCTCCAGGACAGGAGCTACGTGGGCACCGGGCGCTTGTCTTGGAAGAAGCGCTTGAGCGTGCAGACCTGCAACACAGCCACTAGCAACAGCACAGCCACGTTGACAGCTGACCAGAAGTTGACTCGCTCCAAGTTACCCTCCTGCAGGTTGCGGTCCCGCGCCTCAAAGGCCCGTAACAGCGTCAGCATCTGGATGCTGCGCTCCAGCCGGGTCCTCATGGTCTCGATGGATTCCTGTAGGGCAGAAGAAGGAGCAAGGTTAGGCTGCCAAAGAAATGGGGTGAGGCCATGTTGGGCAGGGGGAGAGAACTAAGAATGTAAGAATCTGCCTAAGCCAGATTCCTCCTCTGCCATGACTGTAAGCAAGTTAATTAACCTCTCTGGGTCCCAGTTTTCTATACACCTCAGTATTGCTGTGAAAATTGAATGTATAGGGTTGGAGGTATAACTCAGTGGTGGAACAGGTGCTAAGCATACATGAGGCCCTGGGTTCAATCACCAGCGTACTTTCCCCACCCCTCCCCCCAAAAATGGAATGCCTAAAGAAGTACGCAGAATATATTTTCTAGTGATTAACAGTATAGTTACTGAAGCCACAACTGACTCTGCAAGTTGTTAGCTGTGTGGTTATTTAGTTATTGTGTGCCTCAGTTTCTCCACTCTAAAACGGGGTATTTATAGCCCAGGGCCTACTTCATGCAGTGGTTATGGAGATTTGTGATATTAATTTATTTATGGTTTGAAAGTTATTTAAGCACTGAAAAAAGGGTTTATACCCAGAAATACCTTACTATTTAAATTAAGCTGATACTAGGAAGTTGGAAGAGCTAGTTCAGGCTAAAGGGGAGACCTCAGCCAAAGAGGAAGGGTAGAATGCCAGAAGTCTGAGAGGAATGCCCCCAGCTTATCTCAAGTTCACCAGGTTTATCTTCTTTTTTTTTTTTTTTTTTTTTTTGGCAGAACTAAGGTTTGAACTCAGCCTTTTGCTTGCTAGGCAGGTGCCCTACCACTTGAGCCATTTCCCCAAACCCTTTGGGTTTGAGTTATTTTTCAAATAGGGTCTTGCCTTTATGCTCAGGGGCACCAGGACAAGGATTCTATTTATGCTTCCCACCTAGCTGGGGTGACAGGTGTGCACCCCATGCTCAGCTTTTTATTGGTTGAAATAGGGTCTCAAAAACTTTTTTGCCCAGACTGTCCTCAAACCTCAATCCTGAGTAGCTATGGTTACAGGCTTGGCTTTTTTTTTTTCTTCTTCTTGAATAAATGAACTTGTCATGTTGCCCAGGCTGAATTGGAACTCTCTAAGTAGCCTAGGCTAGCCACAAACTTGCAATCCTCCTGCCTTAGCTTCCTCAGGGCTGTGACCACAGGTGTGCACCACCCTGGCTCCTGGGTGCACCTTAATGTCCCCCATCTTGACGTCCAGCATCTCTTCAGGTTCTACAGCTTCTGCCCAGCCTTCCACTTCCTCATCGTCTTGCAAGCTGTCAAAGATGAGCTCAAAGAACACCAGTTTCTCTGAGATTGTGCTGAAGGAGTTGTCAAAGCACAGTCTGTAGTCCCCAGCCTCCGTAGGCTCCACCCTGAGTGGACAGACAAACACACAGACATGACCCTTAGTGGCCAGCCAGCTGGCCTCTATGGGGCAGGCAGGATGGTAACCCGAGGCCACTGGGGAGCGGCAGGGCTGTAACTGAACCCAGGCAGACTGCAGGACTTAACTCACGTGTGCACCCCATCAGCCTTGCGAGACTCGCTGACCAACAGCACACCCTGAGGGCTCTCCAGCGTGAAATCCACGTCCAACCCAGCACCTCCGATCACCTGGAGGGAAGGTAAGAGTAAGTGGACAGATAGGGATAGGTCATGGGCATCTGCCGGAAAAGGGCCTGGGTTGAACCAACTAGCAAATGGACCACCAAGGGCCCATCTGAGCACTGCCATATCTGCGACCCTATCCCACCCCAACCCCCAAATGTCCTAGCCTCATCCCTTGCCCTGCTTCCTCCCTCATTTCATATGACGCCTCAGGGTGGGTTCTTTTACCATGCCACGCCCCCTTGAAAACTCCTTGATGGACGTTTACCTGGGCACGCCCGTTAGCTTGCACCGCCCCAAATGAAACGCCAAGGCCCTGCCTTTCCCTTAAGCCAACCCCGGAAAAACCATACTGACCACATCCCTTTTTTGAGCTTTCCTATAACCATCTTGGTCACGCCCGCTCGCGAGGGTTCTGCCTTCTGAATGGTTCTTTTTTCTCCCCATCCGGCGGTCTCACTTTACTCCCAACCTTCTTCATTCCCACCCATCCACGCCCACGTCGCACTGTCCCGCCCCTTCCGTTTAAACTCTCTAGCTCCGCCCCCGCGCTCCCAGACACTGGCTCCACCCCTTTCCAGTCCAAAGGCACGCATCGCCGCTCTGCTTAGCCACGCCCCCTCTGTTTGTCCTCCTCTAGCTCCTGGAACAGGGTTTCTCTACCTGGTACTCGGTCTCGAGGCTTGCGTTGGCAGGCGCGGACTGGTAGAAACACTGCTTCCTTCCCGCGGGCAACAGGAACGTGAACTCGCCGTCCTGGATCGGTGGGGGTCCCGCCAATCCCACCCCAATTGGCGGCAATAGTAGCCACAGGGCCAAGGCTAGCGCCGCGCTGGCCGCCATCATGTGGGTCACCCTCTGGTGCGCTAGCGGGCCGCGGCTCCTTTAAGAGCTAGCCTTCCCGCCCCCCTCTGCTACTCCGCGAAGCTGATAGGCAGGCTCTTCTGTCAGCTCTCCGAAGGCCGCGGAGCTAAGATTGAAAGGACCCCCCGAGAGACAAGCTGCGCGAATGAGTGCCTGACACGCTTGGAAATGCTCTAATATCTACAGGCGTTTTCCTGTAAGGCCTCCAGCTCTAATCTCAATCGTTTGTGGATAGGGGAGGAAAAAAAAAATGACAAAAATGAGTAACAAGATGGCTCATCTTTTTCAGGCAACAGTTAAGACAACTAAGGTGAAGGCTGCCGGGTCCTTCTAAGATACCTCCTTGAGGTTTTCCCAGAGTACATAGCGCATTACTACTCTTAAGCAACCCCGTTTGGTGGGAGCCTGCGGGTGATTGCGGCTGGGCGTGGTCCTGCGCGCGACCCGTAGGGCTCGCGTATAAAAAGACTCAGCTGGGGCGGGCAGGAGTCTTTAATAGCGAAGTATTGGCGTTGATTTTGCTCAATGACTGTGGCCTCCCCAGACTGGGCGCCCGACCCTTCATTCTCTTTGCGCCTTAGACCATCGTTTTATCAGTGTTGTCATCTGTAAGTTGGGGGTGATGGAACGCCCACCCTATATGGCGGCTGTGAAAATGGAGTGAGTTGAAATTTGGTCCACATTGAACCCTCAGTAGAGGGACATGCCTGCCCCCCTGCATCCCAAGGGTAAAACATCCCAGGTAAAGAGTGACTGAAGTGACCCCGAGTCAGGAAAGTAGAGAAAAGGTGAAAATGGGCCTGGGAGTCCCATGCTTGATTTAAGGGCAGTCGCCCTGCATAGCCTCAGTTTCCTCATCTGCAAAATGGGGGTGATGGTAATAGGGCTGTGGTGAGGAATGGAATAATGCTTACTAAGTGGTGCATCGCAGGCCAGTGAATAATAAATAATCTGGTACTTGGTTTACTGCCTGCCATAGGCCGCCTATCACTTACCTCTCGCTCAGTCTGGCGCAGGGGATCCAGAAGCCAGGCAGATAATGAGAAAGCTTGCAGATCCCGTCTAAACATAAGAAATAAATAAAGACGGAAATCTTTAGTCTTCGAAGAGAGACAAAGTGGTTGGCAGCTGGTGACAATTACTCTTCAAATACAACTAGCGGTTGTCAGCTCTCTCCTGCTCTTGGAGAACTTGGAGAAGTAGCTCACTTTGTCATGTCCAAGTTTAAATATACAGGTGGTTTGCCGTTTTATTCGCAAGTTTTCCTTTTCTTTTTCTTTTTTTTTTTTTTTTGTTTGTTCTTTCGGGTTTTTTCTTCCTTCTCCTTACTTCCCTCCCTCCCTTCTTTCTTCCCTCCTCCCTTCCTTTCTTTTTCTTTCCTTTCTCCCTCCCTCCCTCTCTCACTCTTTCTCTTCTAAGACATAATCTTACTATGTAGCCCAGTTTGGCCTCAAATTTGTGATCCTCCTGCCTCCACCTCCTGGGTACTGGGATTAAAGTATGCACCATCATACCTGGCTTCCCAGTTTTTCCTTTAAATGAGCACTGTTTGAACATTTTGAAGTAGTAGAGGAGAATAGTGATTTTTAATGGATTCTTTTTTAAATGTGATAAAATTCACATTACATAGGATTAACAACTTTAGGTTTGCACTGTTGGCGCAAACCTATAATCCTAGCTACTCAGGAAGATCTCAGTTTAAAGCCAATGCCAGGAAAATAGTTAGTGAGATCCTATCTTGAAAATACCCAACACAGGCCAGGCATTGGTGGCTCAAACCTATAATCCTAGTTACTCAGAAAGCAGAGGTCAGGAGGATCCAGGTTTGAAGCCAACCCAGGCAAATAGGTCTCAAGACCCTATCTTGAAAATACCCAACACAAAATAGAGCTGGCAAAAGTGGACCTGCCTTGCAAGCATGAGGTCCTGAGTTCAAACCCCAGCACTGCCCAAAGTAAATAAATAAATAAGATTAAGAACTTTAAAGAGTACAATACAAGCCAGGTGCCAGTGGCTCACACCTGTAATCCCAGCTACTCAGGAGGCAGATCAGGAGACTCACAGTTCGAAGCCAGCCCTGGCAAATAGTTCTTGAGACCCTATGAAAAATACCCAACACAGAAAAGGCCTGGTAGAGTGGCTCAAGTGGTAGAGCACCTGCCTCGCAAGCATGAGGCCCTGAGTTCAAATCTCAGTACTGCCTCTACACACAAAGAAAAGGTCTCTGCCATGTTGGGGAAGGAGATGGGACAAAGCCTGACAGAAAATACCTTGAAAGCTTCCCTGACATGTTCAAGCTGTACTTTCCTTGATGTAGTGTTCTCTTGTTTAACAGAAAGTTTTGCTTCCCAGACTTCAGACAAAGTTGATTGTGACAGTTTTCACTTGTCTCCTCCTCATTTCTGTGACAGGATGGTCCCAGGCAAGTACTTTATCGTTCTGGCTGTCCTCTGGGATCTGAATGGGTGACTCACATCCCTCAAGTAAACAAAAACAAAAACTCTCTCCAGTGATGCCACAAATGTGTACATGTGACAGTGAACAAAAGCAACATGTCCCCAGGAAGCAGACATCCTAGGGCAGAGAGGCGACAGTTAGTTAAGTTTAACACTAAGCTGCTGCCGGGGAGTCAGACTAAGAAGTGAAATCCAGGTGGAAGATTGTGATGGGGTAGGTGATTTTGGTCATTTTGTCTGGGTAGAATCAGGGAAGCCCTCTCTGAGGAAGTGTCATTTGAGATGGAACCTGAGTGGGGCATAGTGGCACACACATATAATCTCAGCACTGGGGAGGCTGAGGCAGGAGAATCTCGACTTTGAGACCAGCCTGGGCTACATAGTGAGACCCTGCCTCAAAAAACTAAAAAATAAGACTGGGAGCATGACGCAAGTGGTAGAGTACCTATTTAGCAAGTGTGAGGCCTTGAGTTCAAACCACAGTACTGCCAAAAATAAATAAGTAAATAATAAAAAAGAAATTAAATGATGAGAATGGAAGTAGAAGGGAGAGAAAACAGTGCCCTGAGGTCAGAAGACACTCAGGAGGTTTGCCCAGAGTCAGCCTCCCGGGGTTGTTACGACCAGGACGAATTTGCACTGATATCCAAACATCTATGACCCCCTTAGACTAAACCCAGACTAAACCCAAAGATTCTGAGAATGAACTTGGTGGTCTTTTTTACTTTCTGTCCTTTCCTGTGCGTGGACCTCTATACACAGGGACTGCATGGTGGCCTGTCCTCTTGCCCCTGGTTTGGCTTGGTCCTGATTGGAGCTGACCCAAGGGCTGGTGGGGAGGGCTGGCTATGCCTTCCCTGGCTCCTGCCTTGGCGGTCTGCATTTCTCTCCCAAAGCCTGTGATACAGCTCTCTTCAGCTAACTCCCGTGATGCTGCCTCCAGGGGGACATCAGGCCTGGAGGGTCACAGCTCCTGAGCCCAGGATGTACCACCATTCCTATCTCCCGGCACCTGCCCGTGACTCCTGTCATGTGATACGTTACAAGTACCGTGTACGGTTGTTTTTCTGAGCTCGGGATCCACTAAGGTCACAATGCTGGGTTACTTATTCCTGCGCCATGTTAAATCTCTAGGATGAAGCCTTTACCTACCCCCAGCTTCCTTCCTACATAGTAGCTCCTCTACCTGGAAGGCCCTCCCCTCCTCTCCTTTCCAGGACTCTGATGTCACCTCTCCCAGAAGCCTGCCTTGAATGCACAGTGACACCTCTATCTAGCTTCACCAACTAGATCCTTACTTATTTGTCCTGACTCACTAAGCTCCTTCCAGGCAGGAGCTGTTCCACTTAGCACAATGTCTCTGGCACCCAGTACCATTCTGGACTCTTGGTGACTCTCATTAAATCATAGTGGAATAAACCAGGAATGCTTACACCCTCTTCTGCATACCCAGCCACAGAGCTCCCAAAATAGGCTGAATGAATGGTTTGGGGTTTTCAGATGAGACCATAGAGAAATGTTTTTTGTTCATTGTGTGCCAAGCACTTGATAGTCACGACACTGAAGACCCCATCTCTGTCTTCCTGGAGGAAAAGAGCTTTTTAAAGAAAACATAAATGATGGATAGGCATGGTGAGACATGCCTATAATCCCAGCTTCTAAGAAGGCAGAAATCGGAAGCTATGCTCACCACTATACCACCAATGCCTCTTGGAGGCAGAGGTTGGGAGGATCACTGTTCAAGGCCAGCCAGTTTAGCGAGACCCAATCTCAATTAATAAACTGGGTATGGTGGTATACACCTGTGAGCCCAGCTACTTGGGAGGCTGTAGGTGGGAGGATCACAGTCCAGGCTGGCCTCTAGCAAAACCATGGGAACTTACCTGAAAGATAACTAAAATAAAAAGGGCTGGGACATGCCTCAAGTGGTAGAGCACCTACCTAGCAAGTGTGGGGCTCTGAGTTCAAATTCCAGTACCACCAAAAAGAAAAAAATTTATGAAGGAAGAATTCAATAAATTCTAGAATGTTATTGAACTGCCATGCCCTAATCTAAATCATATTTGTAGAATATTATTCCAAATGACTGTAGAGTATACTTTTGTTTCCATTGTACAGAGAACATGGATCAAGATATGTTTGCTGAGGGTCTGGCTTGATGGTGCATACCTATAATCCCAGCTACCCAGGAAGCAGATGTGAGGATCACAATTCAAGGCTAGCCCTGGGCAAAATTAGTGATATCCTGTCTCAAAAACAAACTAAGCTTGGGTGGTGACTCACACACGTAATCCTAACTACTGGAGAGAGAAAGATTGGAAGGGAGTTAGTTCAAGGTCAGCCAGGCAAAAAGTTAGAAAGACCAAATATCAACAAATAAATCAAGCATGGTGCTTCACTTCTGTAATCCCAGGCCAGACTTGGACTAGGATTATAGGTGTGAGCCACTGGTGTCTAGTATGGCTTTTTTTTTTTTTTTAGCTCAGTCACAATCAAGTTTTAGTTCATGTCTATATCATTCAGCAATTGAACAGTCAAATTCATCATCTGAAATGGCTTTTTGTTGTTGTTTTGGTTTGGTTTGGTTTGAGACAAGGTCTTGCTATTGTAGCACAGATGGGCCAGGAATTCATGATCCTCCTGCCTCAGCCTCTAGAGTGCTGGGATTACAGATGTGCACCACCACACCAAGCTAATGGCTCCTTTTGTTCCTTGGTGTAAGCCTCCAAGTAGATCCCAGATTGGACAGAAACCCTTGTCAAGGCGAACCTGCCCAGAAACAGAAACGTGGGAGTTCCTGGGGTGTAAACAGCAGGCACTTTATCCTGCACACTGTGTCCTGCCCTTATTCCTAGTGTCCCCTTTCACCTGGCTGGTAAAGCCACTGACTCTTTCTTTCCTGTCACTGCTCCTTGGGAGCATTTGCAACCCACTAGGCATTTTTTTGTTTTTGAAAGCCTACGGTACCTGGTATTCCCAGGCGATCTCCCATCCAAGTACTAACCAGGCTCGACCCTGCTTAGCTTCCGAGATCAGACGAGATCGGGCTCCTTCAGGGTAGGCATTGACTGCATTTCATATCATAAATTCTTCAGATTGTTTTTCCCCTGGGTCTGGGTTTTGAACTCAGGGCTTTGCTCTTGCAAGGCAGGTATTCTACCACTTGAGCCACACCTCCAGTCCATTTTGCTCTGGTTATTTTGGAGATGGGGGTCTCACGAACTTGGCTTGGCTGACTTTGAACCTTCTTCCTCCAGATCACAGCCCCCCAAGTAGCTGGGATTACAGCCATGAGCTCCTGTACCCAGCTTTCTTTGGATCTTATTACTCTTAGCCCCATTCTACAAAGAAGCAAACTGGGGCTTCCGAGAAATCAGACCTTGCCTGAGGTCACAGAGGCCAAACCCTGACCACCATACCCTGCCATCACCATCACCCCTACCCCAAGTTCATTTCACTTTTGGTGCTAGTTAGGCTGTGTTTTGTATCTGGGTACAGGTTTCCCAAGCAGCCCATGTTCACATCCATTATCAGGCCCAGAAGGATGACGAGAACAAATACCATCTCATTCATTTTTCCCTCCAGTCTACAGAATCCCAGCCAGCCAGGGGCAGAGAGGTGACCGGGTGTGTGGCTGTGCATTTAAGGAAGGGGTGGGGACAGGAGAGAGTCCCTCTGAGTGCCCAGATGTGTGTGCAACTTCCTGCCAGTGAGTAAACAGTCAGTTCGAATCAGTCCTGGTTCTCCTTTCCCCGCGCTGGCCTCGCAGGAGGAACTGGCGAAGAGCCCTGGACCCCTCTGGCCTCAGCCAGTTTTCCTGGCCACACATAGCAGGAGACGACATGCCTTGGACACTCTTGCTGTTTGCAGCCGGTGAGTCTCATGCCTACCCGCACTCTGGCCCCCTCCCCTGCCCCTTGCCAAGGGGACAGAAATCAGCCCAGGCTGCCAGGGTGTACAGGAGGCCCATCCCACTCACCCTTTTCAACTTAGGCTCCTCATCGCCCCAAATCAAGGTTTTCAGAAATCTTACCCTGCTGGAGGCAGCCACAGCCATACCCATGACCCAGGCCCTTGGCCTCCCCAGGCCCTACCTCCAGGACTGGGTCGTCAGTAGTCTGCCTGGTAGGAGGTTGGGTGACCCAGTTGTAATCCTTCCCCTCTGCTCAGGAGCCTGGGGTAGCTGATGGAGAGAGTTGCCCTTAGTAGAAACTGCCTCCTACAGGAAGCCCTCCTGGGTCACACTGTATACTAAGAGCAGCCCCAGGGAAGAGAGGGGACCCCTCAGCCCTCCCAACCCTCCTCTCTCCCCTCTTGCTTACCCCTTTCCTGCCACCCTGGCCTCCTTACCTCTCTTTCTTTTTTTTTTGGTAGTACTGAAAATTAAACTCAGGGCCTTTCACTTGCTAGACAGCTGCTTGACAACTTTAAGCATGCCCCCAGCCCTTTTTGCCATGGTTTTTTTCAATTAGGGTCTTACGCTTTTTGCCCAGAGTCAGTTTCGGACAGAGATCCTCTTACATCTACCTTCCAGTAACTGGTACCATAGTCACATACCACGATGCCCAACTTGTTGATTGGAATGGGGTCTTGCTAACCTTTTGCCTGGACTGGTTTTGAACTGTAGTCCTCTTGATCTCCACCTCCCAAGTAGCTAAGATTACAGGTGCGCATCACCACACCTGGACCCTCTCCTTGATTTGACTTTTTTCTTGTGGTACTGGGGATAGAACCCAGGGCCTCCCAATGTGCTAGGCAAGGGCTCTACCACCGAGCTATACCCCCAGCTCAGTTCACCCCTCGTTGAACATCCCATGCCCTGTCCATCCTCTGTGCCTTTGCCTGTGTCATTGCCTTGCACGGGGGTAGCTCCCTCAGCTCTTCGCACAGGTCCTTCCTCACCACACAGAACTCTGCTGACCTGTCAGCTTCTTCCGGGAAGCCCTCCAGGGTCACCCCAGCTCACACAGAGTTCCCATTTCCCAGGACTACTTGTCTTCTTGAGAGAACATCAGCTGCCCAAGGCAAGCACGTCTGTCCATTTGTGTCTCTTGCACTCAGAATATGGCAGGGGTGTTGTGTAATTGATTGGCATATGTAACTCAGTAGAGCACGCAAAACCCTGAGTTTGATCCAAAAAAATAAAACTAAAAAGGCCTAGAGAGGGTGATCTGCTTGCCCAAGAACACAGAGCCAGCTGAGCCTGCACTCTGACCTACCTCATATTCTGCACCGCAGGCTCCTTGGCCATCCCAGCACCGTCCATCTTCCTGGTGCCTCCCTACCCGAGCAGCCAAGACGACCCCATCCACATCTCATGCACGGCCCCCAAATACTTCCTTGGGGCCAATTTCACACTGTACCGAAGCGGACAGGTGGTTCAGCTCCTGCAGGCCCCCGCAGATCAGCCTGGCGTCACGTTCAATGTGAGTGGTGGTGGCGGCAGAGGCGGCAGTGGTGAGGCTCCTGGAGGGATATTCCACTGCCAATACGGTGTGATGGGGGAACACAGCCAGGCCCAGATGTCAGACCTCAGCCAGCCTGTGCAGGTCGCGTTCCCAGGTAAGAGCTCCTCTAGGCCCTAAGTTGTGCCAGGTGCTGTTCCCTCTGCTGGGACAACTCTGAGGGAAGACCAGGCCAAGTGTCACTTGCCTTTTCCTTGTCCATCCTCAAAGCCACTGTAAGAGATAGGTACTGGCCTAGAACTTGATCCTCCTGCCTCCTCCTCCTGAGTGCTGGGATTACAGGTGTGTACCACCAAGCCCAGCAATCATAAAATTGCAAAGGGAGCAAGTGAAGAGAAAAGGTAGAACAGCCTGGCAAAGGGTTCTTTTTTTTTTTTTTTGCGGTGGTGGACATGGAACCCAAGGCTGTGTGCATGCCAGGTAAAACAAACATTCTGCCACTTGAGCCAGGCCCCCAGCCCGAACGGCATCATTTTAAGAGGCAAATAGGGTGGTCACGGAAAGCCCTGAGGTTATGTTGGAGCAGAGATGGGAATGAAGCTGAGTGTAGTGGGTCATGCCTGTAATCCCAGCAGTCAGGAAGTCAAGGCAAGAAGGTTATGAGTTTGAGACCAGCCTGGGCTACATAGTGAAACACTGTCTTAAATCACCCTCACCAAAATCTGAAGGATAAGGAGACAGTCACGTGGGTATCTGGGACAAGAGGATTATAGGCAGAGGAAACAGACTGTGCAAACGGCCCTGGGGCTGGAGTGTGCCTCATGTGTGTGAGGTGCACAGAGAATTCCCTATATAGCTGAAGTCTCATGAACAAGGAGGAAGGTGTAGAGACAAGACAGGGAGGTGATAAGGATCATAACAGGCCATGGCCACGGAGGAGTTTCAGCTTTTTGTCTGAGCGAGGTGGAAACACTGGGAAGGCTGGTGTCTTTCTCCAGGCTTTGCAGGAGAGGAGGCTTGGCATGGGCTATGGGTCAAGAGGCCCAGGGATGGGACCGGGGTGTGGTGAGAGGCTGAGTGGGTGCCTAACGTGACAGGGTCTGGGTTCCATCCCCAGCACCACAAGAAGGCCTAGAGGGAGGAGAGGGAGGAAGGGAGGGAGAGAGGAAAGGGGAGGGGCCCTCCGCGGACCTCTCAGTCATAGCCATCAGAAGAAAGCCCCGCCTGTTGTGACAGCTGAGCAGCCTGTCTTGCCGCCAGCCTTGAGCTGCTCTGTCAAAGGCTCCCTTCTCTCACCTTGGCCGTGTGGTCTTGGAGGTGGGAAATGACTGCATCCCTCCCTCCCCACATGAATGAGTGAACAAGGCCAACGATGTAAGCAAACCAACAGCTTTCCTTCCTCACCCCACCCCAGCTTAGCAGCTCCTGGATTCTGCTGGGTCAGAGGATCTCCTTCTGTCCTCCCAGGCCCCCTGAGAGACTCCTCCACCTCTGTCCCAAAGGGACAGCTGAGGCCCTTACAGAGAAGAAGGCTCTGGAACTCGTTTCTTGGGAGACACCCTCTGTGTGGACTTCAGTGTCCACTGTGTGGCTGGGGTGGATGTCACCTGACTCTTTAGTACCTAGACAGAAGCCAGCAGGATGCTTCAGGTAGTAAAACACTAAAAACCTGATTCAAACTTGTTTCAGTCATGAAAGAGTTTTTAATTCACTGTAGTCATTTATAGTATGACTTCAGGTATGGGTGGATCCAGGAACTCAAAGATGTCAGGAATTATTTGCCATCTCTCAGGTCCCCTTTCTTCTGTGTTTTATTCTTAGGCAGGCCCTACCCCTCATGGTGACAAAATCACATTCAGCAGCTACAGATATAGTTACCACCAGCACTGCAATGCTAACCAGTCAGAGGAATAAACCTCCATTTTTTTTTTTTAACTCAGGGTTTCACACTGGCAAGGCGGTTCCCTACCACTTCAGCCATTCCTCCAGCCCAAGGAATAGACTTCTCTGCCCAGCCATCTAGCCAAAGTCCCACAGTTAGATTTCGTTAGCTCAGAGGATGGCTGCATAGCCATCCCGGAACCAATCAGAATGGCCAGATGGAGGGAATATGCTAATTGCCCAGATGCAAGGTTTGCTAAGTGCTGGGGGTCCAGCTACACTCACACCACATGGCTGCAGCTCACGTCTGTAGTCCAAGCTACTTCCCAGGCTGAGATCAGGAGGATCGAGGTTCAAGGCCAGTCCAAACAAATAGTTCCTGAGACCCCCATTTCCAAATAACCAGAGCAAAATGGACCGGAGGTGTAGCTCAAGTGGTGGCACTCCTACTTTGCAAGAGGGAAGCCCTGAGTTCGAACCCCAGTCCCGCCAAAACAAAAACCAAAACCATGGGGAGGGGGGATGCCTGTGGGGAGAGGGTTGGCTCCCAAAAGGTAACTTGGAGAGATGATGGGTGTCTCACCCTTTCCTTGTCCCCCACAGCTCCGTTATCTGGCCTCATTATCTCCTCCCACTTTGTTCTAGTGCCCACCTGGATCCTGGTGCTATCCCTGAGCCTGGCTGGCGCCGTCCTCCTCATTGCCGGGCTGGTGGCCCTAGCTGTGGTGGTCAGAAGAGGTAAAAAAGAACAAAGAATGCATGGCCTGATGGCTGTCAGTTTGCAACTTCTAGAACTTACTAATGTGCACAAACCCTACTTCTCCTTTCCTTTTCTTTTGTTTTTTTATTTTTTGTAAGGACTGGAGTTTGAACTCAGGGCTTTGCACTTGCAAAGGAGGCTCTCTACAACTTGAGCCACACCTCCCAGTCCATTTTGCTCTGGTCATTTTAGAGATGGGGTCTTGGGAACTATTTGCCCAGGCTGGCCTCAAATCCTGATCCTCCTAATTGCAGCCTCCTGAGTAGCTAGGATTACAGGCATGAGCCACCAGCGCTTGACTTTGGCTGTGTTTTTATTGTAGTAAAATATGCATAGTATACAACTCAGTGCCATTGAGTACATTTACATTATTGTGCAACCATCACCTCCATATGTCTTTAGAACTTTTTCATCACCTCAAACTGAAACTCCATCCTCATGAAGCAATAACTCCTATTCCTTCCACCCACAGCTCCTTACAGCTATGGAAACTTCATTTTTTTGTTTATTTGTTTTTATTTTTGAATATTTGAGATAGGGTCTCATTATGTATCCCAGGGTGGCTTCACACTCAAGATCCTCCTGCCTCAGCCTCCTGAGGGATGGGATTACAGGCATGTATGACCACACCCTATGAAACTCATACTATTTTTTTTTCTTTCTTTCTTTCTTTCTTTTTTTTTTGTGGCACTGGGGCGGGCTTGAACTCAGGGCCTCATGCTTGCTAGGCAGGTGCTCTACCACTTGAGCGACTCCACCAGCCCGTTTTTGTGATGGGTATTTTCAAGATAGGTTCTCATGAACCATTTGCCCAGGCTGACTTCAAACTGCAGCCCTTTTGATCTCTGCCTCCTGAGTTGCCAGGATTACAGGTGTGACCCACTGGCTCCTGGATTGTTTGAAAATTTCAACATACATTAGTCCTATAATTGAAGAAAAGAAAATCAGAGTCAGAGTGATGGTACACACCTGTAATCCCACAAGTTGGATGGCAGAAGCAAGCCAACCTACACTACATAGTGAGACCCTGTCTCAAAAATGAGAGAGAGAGAGAAAGTCATTTACAGTAGCTCTCTTGTGGAGTGATAAATTTGCCTGGGAGAGGCAAGGCCAGGTTGCAAAGGTATAAAGAGGTCTTTTGTGCCAGGCACCAGTGGTTCATGCCCAGAATCCCAGCTACTTGGGAGGTTGAGGGTAGGAGGATCATGATTCAAGGCCAGCCCAGGCAAGTAGTTCATAAGACCCCAGCTCCAAAATAACCAGAGCAAAATGGACTGGAGGCGTGGCTCAAGTGGGAGAGTGCCTGCTTTGCAAGAACAAAGCCCTGAGTTCAAACCCCAGTCCTACCAAAATAATTTAAAAATAAAGAGGGTTTTTGTGATACTGGGGCTTAAACTTGAGGGCTGTGCCACTTGAGCCACACTCATATAGAGGGAGGTCTTGATTTCTTGGGCTTAGAAACTTGTTGAATGAATACAAAACCCATGTTTAACAAATGCCTGTCTCTCTCTTTCTTGTTCCAGTTAGAGTAAAACACCTGCAGAAGAGAAGGTAAGACCCTCTCTGAAGACTTTGGAGGGTGGTTTGTGGATTGCATAGGTGTTCCACCCCCAAATGGTCCCTCTGATGGGAAGAGTGATGAATGGGAACAGGTGTCATTTATTAAGTGCCTACCGTCCTGGACCCTGAAGCAGGAGCTCACCTTATCCTCCCAGAGTCCTGGAAGGAGGTGAGATCAATAAGCCCATTTTACAGATGAGAATACTAAGGCCAAGCTCTCAGTCACCCAGGGAGCAGGTAGCTCAGCTCTCTTCCTATCCCCTCACGGCCAGCTGCCAAAAAATTGTGAAAATAACTCCAGATATCCACAGCAGGTTTCTGTGGATCCCCTGGGGTTTTGCATTGCCAAAGTTGTGCTGGAGGTGGCCCTGTGGGACAGCCCTGAGGGCCATCGTTGATTTGGGCATGCAGGCCTCTTGCCAGAGGACATGGGGGAGCCACGTACATGTGGTTAGGAGCCATGGCGGTGTAGAACAATTGTCGGGTCTCACTGGCTACTTTCTTCTGAATCCTTTTGCAGAGAGCAGGAATCTTGCTGGGCTCAGATTAACTTCGCAACTACAGGTCTGTGCCTCCTTGTCACCAACCCCACCTGGGTGAGGCCACTGCCTCAGAATGACATCTTTACTTGGACATCTGTGAATTCAAGACACACCCTCCAGTCTCCTTCCCCTGGGAAAGTTTGCACAGTCTCTCCTTATCACAGCCTCCTGCTTTCACGAGCTCAGCCCACGGTCTAGAACAGTCTCCCTCCTTCCAGCCACAGTCTAGATAGTTGCCTCCTCTGGGAAGCCTTCCATGATTGCTTCCTAGACAGGGTCTATACTTGTTTCTACCCCACAGTAGAAGCATGATTAAGTGATCATGGGGTGCTTGTGGATTTGAGACTCGCTTGCTTCCACTGCTGAGTGGCCTTAGAGGGAAGGACCTGGGTGGGTCACATGGGGTGCACGCCTTCTGTGAATGAATGAATGCTGCTCCCTTGGCTTTCCAGATGTGTGGTTCTGCCAGTGGCCACTAGGGTGCAAGAGGCAGCCAGTCTGCGATGCAGGTGGGCAGAGGGCCTAGTGCAGAAACTTCATTTTCTGCACTTGATTCACTACTTGATGTATTTATTGAGCTCCTACTGTATGCTGAGATCTGGGAGGACTCTGTGATGATCAAAACAAATGTGGTCTCTGTCCACAAGCCTGGGCTCCAGTGGGAAAACAGGGAATGGAGGGGTCTGGGACCAGGCAGGTGGTTCCGGTGGAACAAGAGGAGGACATAGGCAGGTGAAAAGTGGGTGATCGAGCAATTGGAGGAGACCCTGGGGAACGGGAGGAGCCAGCAGGTGTCCCTTCTAGAAGGCAGTGGTTAACAGAAGCACCTGATTTCCTGAGGGCATGGGGAGCCCCCCTCCACCCCTTAGGAGGGCTTTGCTGAGGGGAGGGACTGGTTCAAGTTGTAGGTCAGGTTCCCAGCTCATTGCAGAGTGGGTGGAAGGAGCAGGAGAGGATGCTGGGAGACGGCCGCCTCCTTCCTCAGGGGTGACTTTGGCTTCCAGGCTGCAAGCAGGGGCAGAAGTGTAGTGCCCAAGGAAGTGGCAACTGGTGCCCAACCTGACTTTCCCCTCTCTCTTTCAGACATGTCCTTTGATAACTCCCTGTTTGCCATTTCCACGGTGAGTTGCTCTTTTTATTTCTCCCCGTTTTTCCTGCTGATGCTCCGAACTACAGGAAGATGGGCGTCACCACTGGGCTGGGATGACTTACCGACCCTGAGCTCCACTGACCAGGAAGAAAGCCAGAGTCAGGGCACTGATCCCGCTATTGAGAGTGATCATTGTCATTTGGGCGGGGGGGAGCTCATGCAATTGTGGGTAGCATGTTTTTTGGACTTAATTAGGCCAACCCCTCAGACTAGTGATAAAAGATTCAGGTGGCTTTGGTGACTTCTCTGGAGTCCTTCACGGAGCCTTGTGACAATCTGATGCACTCTGATTTCCTCCTGGCACAAAGATGGCTTGTTTTTGTGTTCCGTACAGCTTAAATGTCCCACTGTGTGTTTGTGCTCCCTCATGTCACATAGTGTCAGTGCTGGGATTCAAGCCTGGGTCTATGGTAGCTTGAGGTGGCCTTGGGGCTCATTCTTTATTATTATTTTTTGGCAGTACTGGGGTTTGAACTCAGGACCTTGAGCTTACTAGGCAGACTTTCTACCCTTGAGCCACACCTCCAGCCCTTTTGCTTTGAGTCTCCTACTTTTGCCTGGGCAGCCTCAGACTATGATCCTCCTAACTCTTGCCTACTGAGTAGCTGGAATTATAGGCAGGAACCATTACACCTGACTACTACTACTATTACATATATATATATATATATATATATATATATATATATATTTTTTTTTTTTTTTTTTTTTTTTTAGTACTGGGGTTTGAACTCAGGGCCTACATCTTGAGCCACTCCACCAACCTTTTTTTTGTAATGAGTTTTTTCAAGATAGGGTCTTGTGAACTATTTGCCCTGGCTGGCTTTGAACTGAGATTCTCCTGATCTCTGCCTCCTGAGTAGCTAGGATTACAGGTGTGAGCCAATGGTGCCAGGCTTACTATTTTTTTTTTTTTTAAATTAAATTAGAGATGTGACCCATGAATTTCACAGGTCAAGGAAATGGAAATGTTCAGCAAACATTTCTCTGTGGAGATGGGTACAGCTCTCCCCACTAGAGGTGGTTTCAGCAGTCCCACTAGGACACATGACTGCTGAAGAACGTTTGAATTTTCCCAGGGAACCATAGAGTGAGTGAAGAGTGGAGTGACTGGAGTCAGGTGCTCACAGGTGCCCTCTGGTGGCTTCTGCAGAGAAGAGACTAGAGGGTGGGAACAGCAGCAACAGAAGTGGCAGAAGTTAACACTTACAGGACAGGGTAGATTCAGGTGGCACTGCTATGGACTTGGATGAACCAAGGGAGGGGTTGGGGTTGGGGGAGGGGTAGCCTGGGATGGACATTATGCAGAAATGGGCCATCCAGACCCCAGCCTGGAGTTCCAGAGAGATGTGAGTACTGCAGGTAAGACCTGGAGGCACTGGGCCACTGATGGGGGAAAGGAGTGGACTTGGCACAGCCTGTTACACCCTAGGAGGTCCCAGCTCTAAGAATAAATCCTAAATTCTTTTGTTTTTTTTGCAGTACTGGGGTTTGAACTCAGGGCCTTCACCTTGAGCCATTCCACCAGCCCTTTTTTGTGAAGGGCTTTTTAGAGATAGGGTCTCTCTGTTTTCCTGGGGCTGGCTTCAAACTGTGATCCTCCTGATCTCTGCCTCCTGAGTAGCTTGAATTATAGGCGTGAGCCACTGCGTCCACAGCCTCCACTTTAAATTTCTTTTTGAAGCCTGAGAAGTGTGTGCTGTTGGCTAAAATGACTACATAGTCGCTGATACTGATCTTGAGGAAGGCCTCTTCTGTAACTTTCTAATAACTTATGTAGGGGGTGAGGTTGGCTATTTTCTTTCTTTTATTTTTTTTTGTGTGACAGAACTGGGGTTGGAATTCAGGGTCTTGCACTTGCTGGGCAGTGCTTTATTAATTGAGCCACTCCACCACCCCTTTTGGCTTCAGGCTGTTTTATTTTTTTAAGGTAAAAAGTCTATGATCACTTCATTTTTTAAAAAATTTATTAGCCTAATAATTGTACAGGAGGATACATTGTGATATTTACATATGTGTTTACAATATATCTTGTTAGATTTACCCCCTCTGTCTTTCTCTCTTACCTCCTCCCCCCTTCCTAGAAGAATTGCAACAGGTTTCATTCTTCTATTTTCAATATATGGATACAAAATACTTATACTTTTACGTATTCTCTCTCATTCATCCTTTCCTTGTGCCCGCCCCCATCCCACTGGTACCCATCCCTGGAAAGACCTATTTTACCCTCCGGCTCTTCATTTTTTCAACGTGTATATTAATGTCCCAGGGGAGTTTCACCTTGGTACTTCAAGTCTGTATACCTTGTACTTTAATCAAATTAATGCCCCCCCACACACATTACTTACTCTTCTCTATCACCATGTGCTAAATAATTTTGTTTGGCAGTACTGGGGTTTAAACTTAGAGCCTTACGCTTGCTAGACAGCTGCTCTATCACTTGAGCCACTCCACCAGCCCTTTAGGTTACTTATTTATTTATTTTTGCGGTACCAGGGCTTGAACTCAGGGCCTATACCTTCAACCACTCCAGCAGACCTTTTTGTGTGTGTGTGTGTGTTAGGTATTTTCAAGATAGGGTCTCTTGAACTATTTGCCCCAGCTGGCCTTGAACCGCGGCGATCCTCCTGATCTCTGCCTCCCAAGTAGCTAGGATTACAGGTGTGAGCCACCAATGCCTGGCTTCCTTTAGGTTATTTTTGAGATAGGGTCCTGTGTTTTTTGCCCAGGCCAGACTTGGAGGGAGATCCTACTTGTGCCTCCCTAGCTTTGATCACAAGCCTGTGCCATCATTCCTGGCTTATTTGCTGAGATGGAGTCTTGTAACTTTTTGCCTGGGCTGTCCTTGAGCCATGATTCTCCCAATTTCTGCCTCCCAAGTAGCTGGGATTATATAAGTGAGCCACTGTGCTTGGCAGCTTTTTTTACAAACAGGATGCTGGGGCTGGACCTGGTTTTTAGTGGGGGTCACCCGGCTAAAGAGGGTCAGGACTATGAATGGAATACCAGCCCATTGTCTGAATTGCTTGGCTTCAGTTCTAGAAAGATCATCTCTCCTTCCATTTGTGGCAAAGCCTCCAAGATGAAGGAGAGAGGAGGTTTTTTGAAGTTTTTTTCTTTTTTTTTTTTTTGCAGTACTGGGGTTTGAACTCAGGGCCTACACCCTGACCCACTCCACCCGCCCTTTTTTGTGAAGGTTTTTTTTTTTTTTAGATAGGGTCTCTCGAACTATTTGCTCGGGCTGGCTTTGAACCTTGGTCCTCCTGATCTCTGCTTCTTGAGAAGCTAGGATTACAGGCATGAACCACCAGTGCCTGACCACCAACCCTGTTTTTTGTGATGGGTTTTTTGAGATAGGGTCTCGAAAACTATTTGCCTGGGCTGGTTCCTGATCTCTGCCTCCTGAGTAGCTAGGATTACAGGCGTGAGCCACTGGCACCTGGCTGGTTTTTGAAGGTTTTGAGGGTGCTGGACACCGGAAGGGTAAAAGACAGGAATGGATGTGTTCATGGAGCACAGAGTTTTGGAGGGGCCAGCCACTTTATATATTTTACTTCAAGTCTCATGGCAATGCCGGTGGGTACCAGCATTCTTCCCATTTTTTCAGAAGGGAAAACTGAGGCCCAGAGGGTTTAAGTCACTCAACTGATGTCACACTGTTGGGAAGTGATGGAACCAAGATTTGAACACTGTCCCGTGATGTCTCTACTCAGCAGAGAGGAAGGCAGGAGGAGAGCCTTCAAGCTTGGGATGTGGGGAGATGGGGAAGGGTGAGATGAGAACCCATTAGGCTTGTAATATGGGGAAACCCCTAGATCCTGATACCCCCCAAATCATGCTGATCTCTCTTTCTCACTTATATGGTTAAAGAAAATTATGTCAGAAGATGACCCGGTGGCCACCCTGGATAGTCATTCCTGCAATTCTGGGGCCCGAAAGAGGCCCACCTCTACATCATCCTCACCGGAGCCCCCTGAGTTCAGCACTTTCCGGGCCTGCCAGTGAGGCTGAAGAATGGGGACCCTTCATTGTGGGGGCTCCAACTACTGTTTTCTCAGGGAATTGAACAGGGAAGATCAAGGAGTCCTCTGGTCCTAGGACCTTCCTTACAGAAGATGAGAGAGGAGGCCAAGACATAGGTCTGGAGGCTGGACAGAAAGCAGGAAGCCTGTCTGTGGATTCCCAGCTTCTAAAGACTACCAGGGAAGATGTCACGGTCACTTCTGGCACCCCAGTTGGACATAAGAGGTCAAAACACTCCACAACTCCAGCCCCTTCACTCCCCATTTCTTCATTCTCCACCTGCACTTGACCTGGCCACTTGACTTCCTGCGTTTTGTGAGCACAGGGTTCCAAAGGTGTGTTCTGTGCGTTCGCCCTGCTGGCATGTCTAAGTTATTATAGCACGTGGTAAGATGTCTCTAAGGGCTGTATGGCATGTAATCTTCAAGCCTGGGACTTCTGGCACCCTATTATGGATAGAGGGGGGCATCCCCGTCAGGGTGGGCTGTGAGGCCTGTGGGGGTGCAGGAAGTGAGGTGCTGCTGCACGGGGGTCCCTGCATTGAGGTGAATAGGAGGTGGAATGACAGCGGGGTTTGGGGGAGAATGAGGAAGTCCAAGGAAAGGTAGGAGCTGCAGTAGATGGGACCTGGGACAGCGGAGGGGTGTTGGGACCACTGTTGGACTCACTGGCTCACTGTTGCACTCACGGTGGGGAGGAGAGTAACTGAGGAAAGGGTGAGACCCCCGAGAGAGAGGTGGAAGATTTTTGTGTTTGTGCGGAGGTTCAGATACAATGCAGAGGCCAGGGGCACATCTCAAACAGCTTTTCCTCCAGGGCGGCAAAGCCTTCGGACGACGGGCTGGGGGCGTGTCCTTAGGCCCTGGCCACGCCCTCGTACCAGCGCTCTCCCACAAAGCCGGGCGGGAGGGGAGCAGGGCAGGTATGGGGGCGGGGCCTCATCGTGGCCAGTCCCCGCCTTTTCTCTGGCCGCCTCAAAACGCCGAGCGGGGCCAGGGGGCGGAGCCCGGCCTCAGGGGCGTGCCCGACCTGTCAGCGTTTACCGCCCTTGGCACACCCTCAGGTTGCCGCCTGTGTAAGGGCAGCCGGGTAGTGCGGGGCAGGGCCTGAGGAGGGGAGTGTCCGCGCGGCGGAGCACAGGCCATGACGCACGCCTTGCCCCGCCCACCTCGAGCTGCCTCACCGCCTTACAAAGGGGGGGCGGGACCCAACCATCGAAGGGGCGTGTCCTCGCAGCTTAACCACGCCCCAGTGACAAGCTGCGCCCTGCCCACTTCGACCTACCTCACCGCCATACAAAGCGCTGCCGTTCGCGCGGCGCCGGTCTGGGGGCGGGGCCCAGGCCGCCTAAGGGCGTGTCGCGAGGCCGGGTACCGCCCCCTGACGTAAAATCCTCCACCCCGACGCACGCTCCCGCCCCCGGCGTCCCTAGCCGCGGAGCCACCTCACAAAGCGGCGACCGTTCGCGCGGGGCGGGGCGGGGCCGGGCCCCGCCCCTCCAGCGCACTCGCTCTCTACTGTCGCCCAAGGCCGCCAGCAGGGGCCGCTGCGCCACCCTGCCGGGCCGCGGCGGCGGCGGCGGCGGCGGCGAGGCGTCGCGTTGCCGGCAGGTGGCGCTGCCCGGCTCGGCTCGGCCTCGGCCTGCGAGGCGGCGGCAGCGGCGGCGGCCTGGGCCCGGGCGCGGTGGCGGCGGCGGGGCCTGGAGCCGGATCTAAGATGGCAGCGGCGGCGGCTGCGGTGGGGCCGGGCGCGAGTGGCGCGGGAGCGGCTGTCCCGGGCGGTGCGGGCCCCTGCGCGACCGTGTCCGTGTTCCCCGGCGCCCGCCTCCTCACCATCGGCGACGCGAACGGCGAAATCCAGCGGCACGCGGAACAGCAGGCGCTGCGCCTCGAGGTGCGCGCCGGCCCGGACGCGGCGGGCATCGCCCTCTACAGCCGTGAGTGCGGGGCCCGGGCCGGGTGAGGGCCGCACGGCGCGCGGGGGCTGCGCACGCGGCTGGCCGCACTGGGGGCCGGAGGGAGGGGCCCCGAGCCGAGGTGGGGGGAAGGTGGGCACCTGGCGGAGGGTCTGGGCGGCTGAGCTGGAGTGAGGGAGTGTGGGACACCGGCGTCAAGAGACAGAAAGAAAAGAGGGCGTGCGTGGTGACCAGAGGAGAGAGGTGCCGGAATAAGAAGGGAAGCGGGAAATGGGCCTGAGATTTGGGAAGAGGCAGTGGGCAGGAAGTGGGGTCCACCGGTGGAAAGGGGAATTCGGAAGGATCCGGGCTCGGGGGGCTCGGGAGCGGGTGTGGCTGTCTTGGCCGGGAGGAGGGTGTGGTGTGGGCAGCCTCTGGCCATCTCAGGGGACCCCCTGGACTCCTAAGGACTGTTGGAAAGTGGCTCCCTGTTTGGGGCGACCGCGAGGATGGGGCGACCGGGAGGACAGGGCGCCACCCCTGAAGAGGGCTTGGCCTTCAGGACCCCCTACTGGGAAACTGCTCTAGCTGGGAGAGGGTCCGGCGGGGGCCCTCGGATGGAAACGTGGAAGGGGAGGGCGGCTTTCTGATGGCCGGTTTAGAAGTCAGAGGTAACCACCGCCACCTTGCTCGCCACGCGCCTCCTGTCTTTTGGGGGATGTGAGAAGCTGGTGACATTCTCAGAAGCTGCTTTCAAAACTGACATTTCATTGGTGGTGTGGGGGGATCGCAAACGAGTTGGCTAAGCCCCCTCCCCCACTCCAGACTTTGTAGCACATCCTATTTCTTCCTGTGGTTACTCTTTTTCTCTCGCAGATTCCTAGTTCACATATTGCTATTCTGTTTCATTCGGCTTTGTCTCCAGGGGTTTCTCGCACTGGTGCTCTGCGGAGGCCTTTACCGGCTTTGGCCCCGTGGGAATTTTTTGCCACTTTGGGAACGGGTTGTTCCGAGGGGAAGTTTGTGGAGCGGTCAGTACACACGGGGTTCTGTCTTCGCCTTGACTTTGAAAACACATACTAAAGGAGTGTGTCTGTTGTCCAAGGGTGACACCTTTTTGGTCTGGAACCCCTTTGGGGTTCTTGGTCCAGATAAGAAGAGGGAAGCAGGAGATCCAACGGGATTGGACAGACACTTAAACGGGATCTGAGTTTCTTAAGTAAGGCATTTATTCGTAAGAATTAAAAGACTTTTTTTTTTTTTTTAAAGCTAGGGTCCCAGGGCTTACCCTCAAAAGAGTTAAGGGAATCCAGGTGTTGTGTTGGGGGAGGGGGAGGCTTGTTGTCCTAGCACTTGGGCAGATGAGCGAGGATTGAGAGTTTCAGGCCAGTCCTAGGCTGCACAGTGAAACCCTGTCTCAAAAAACAAAAACACAGGTCTGGGAGAGTTGATTTTTTTGTCTAACTTTAAGACAAAAGCTACAGAACAGTTTTTTGTGGGGTTTTTTTTTGTTGTTTTTTTTGTGGTACTGGGGTTTGAACTCAGGGACTTGCACTTGCTAGGCAAGTGCTGTACCACTTGAGCCACACTCCCAGCCCTTAGTACTGTGGTTTGAACTCAGGGCTTCACGCTTGCTGGGCAGGCAGTCTTGAGAAATTCCACCAGCCCTCTTTTGCATTAGGTGCTATTTCCCCTGGCTGACTTTGAACCTTGATTCTCCTGATCTCTGCCTCTTGAGTATCTAGGATTACAGGCTTGAGCCACTGGGGCCCAGCTATAACAGTTTTAAATTTATGGAATTATTGGAAACAAAGTACCAGAGTCCCCAAATATCCCACAACCAATTCCCCTGTATCTTACCCAGGACAGTCTTTACATTTTGTATTTTTGTTTTGTTGACAATCATGAAAGTGGGCTTGAAGGCTCAGCATGGTTGAGACTGTGAGTTTGATCCCTAGCACTGCAGAAAAAAAAATCATGAAAGTTTTACCAGTTATACAGGTATCCTTGACTCTGAGATAATTTATAAACAGAAATCCTCAAACTCAGCCCATTATATTCTCAAGGGTAGAAAGGAATTTCTTCCTCTTTTTGCTTAAGTAACATTGGTGTATACGTAAAAACATGGGCTCTGGAGGCAGCCACAGCGAGGTATATTAACTTCTCAGGGTTGCTATAGCAAATTACTACAAGCTGAGTAGTGTAAATCAACAGGAATGTATTCTCTGTTCATGGCCGGAAGTCAGAAACCAGGGAGTCTGCAGGGTCGTGCTCCCTTTGGAGGTTCTGAGGACAATCCTTCCTCACCTCTTCCCCTTCCTGTGGCTCCAGGTGCTGCTTGGCACATAGCAGCAAAACTCCAGGCTCTTCATGTGGCCTCCCCTTTGCCTCCATGTTCCCGGCTTTTCTTAAGACACTTGGGCATTGGCTTTAGGGCCAATGTAGGCTGATGTCATCCTGAGATCCTAATTACATCCACAAATATCCCATTTCCAGATAAGGTCACCTTCCCTGATAGGGGGGGTTTGGGGTGGGGAGTTAGGACTGAGATCTAGCTTTGGGTCACATTACATGGGCTACTCCTACATCTGCGTTTTTTTACCTGGGGGATGCTGCACCTTAGTTTCCTTGTGGGTAGGAGGGGTTGATGCCAGACTGCTATGGCCAAGCCTGTTTGCTTAATGAATGAACACCTCCTTGGCCCAGGAGCCCCTGCTGGGCTAATGATGGCCTCTCAGAGTTCTTGCTGCCTCACACCAGGGAGTGCTGGTTCTTGAGCAGTGGGGACAGAGCAGGATTGTAGAGAGGAATAGCTCTGAAGTGTGTGCCTCATGAGTGCAAAGTCCCAGGATTGGGGTGTCGCCTGCATGTACCCCCCCAGGCCCACTCCTCCCTGGGAAAGGTCTGAGACAGTCCAGCCAGTCTGGGACTTGGACTGGGGATATGGGAGCAACTGGGTAAGCCAAAGGGGGCTCCCCATATGCCTGGGGGGAAGGGGAAGCAGACTGCAGGGAGCTTGAGGCCTTCTTTTTTTTTTTGGAACTCAGGGCCTTTATCTTGAGCCACTCTGCCACCCCTTTTTTTTGTGATGGGTATTTTTTGAGATAGGGTCTTGAAAACTATTTGCCTGGCTTCAAACTTCGATCCTTCTGATCTCTGCCTCCGAGTAGCTAGGACTACAGGCCTGAGCATCCGGCCCTCGGCCAGGCCTTGTTTTAAGACTAGTTTCCTTCCCTGCTTGTCGTTTGGGGCCGAGAAAGTCTGTCACAAGAATCGGTTCTGTGAGCACCTCCTGCTTCCAGACCCCAGGATCTGAATCTATGTGGGTAGGGACAAAAAGAGGGTTTGTCAGGACACCACACTAGTCCTCCCATGCCTCACATGGGAGGTGGATCAGAGCCTTCCACAGGTGCATTGAGGACCTGGAATGCGGACTCTGACAGGTGTTTGTCAGCAAAGTGGCCTTGAACTAGCCATGTGACATCATCTTCCCCCACCCCCAAGCCTTCCCTGGCCTGTAGCAATACTTTCCTGCACACAGCCTTGGTGTCCTCCACAGCGGGAATCCTGCTGCTTGGTGCCCAGGAAACTGGGTGAAGTAGATGAGGGTGTAGAGCTGGGTGTCCAGAGTGTAGTAAGCATTCATTGGAATGCTTTTCATAGATGTTACTGACAGCGATGTCATTGGTGTGGCACATGGAAGAGCTGGCTTTTCTAGGATAGAGCCCCCCAACCAATACCGCAGGGCCACTCAGCAATGGGGGAAAGACTCTGGGCTCTGTTCCTTGACATCTGCACCTTCCAGTGGGGAAGATGAAACTGCCAGAGGCCTTGTCCTGGTCTCTTGCAGTGAGCAGCAACCCTCCCCACCCTTGCAAGCCATTTGAAGTCCCCCTGGCTTTTGTCCATGGGGTTGGCCATGTAGCAGGCAGCTACCAAAAGCAGGCCACTCTCCCTGGGCAGGGGTGGAGGTCTCCAGTGCAGGCTTCCTGGGCCTGCCTTCGGGAAGCATTAGCATGGCCTCTGGTTGCAGGCTGCCTGCCCCTGGAAGGAAAGGATGCAGTTTCCCAGGGAAGCCCAGCGTGGGCTGGCAGGTAGGAGACCAGAACCCACACTCATTTCCTCTGCCGGTGGCTGAAGATGACTATCTTTTTCTGTCTTGGTCAGCACAAGCCTGTGTGGCCAGTGCTCTGGACTCTCCCCACCTTCTTTAGCCAGGAAGAGATGCACAGCATACAGGCTCTGATGGGGGAGGGTGAAATTTCAGTTTGGGGAGGGCATGGCAGAGACTGGAAAGCCCGAAGAAAAACCCCCTTGTTGGAAGGAGGTAAAGAAAGGCTGGCTGCCACAGAAGCAGGGCAGAGGGTGACTTCTCCATGCCACCCTCCTGGGACCCCCTCCAACAGCTGGGATGTTTGTGCTGTACCCAGCCTTTAGAATGTTTTCTTGTTAAGTTGGGGTGACAGTCCCAGATATGCCAAAGACAGGAGGATTGAGGCCCAAGGCTGGTTTAGGACAAAAACTTGAGGCTGTATCTGAAAAATAAACGAAAGCAAAAAGGGCTAGTGGTAGAGTATCTGCCTAGCAAGTGCAAGGTTCAAATCCTGGTACTGCCAAAAAAAAAAAAAAAGTCCACTTTCTGGAGTGTGTAGCCAGTTGGCCTGCAGGTCGTGGCTCTGGTTGTGTGTGGCCACTGGTGCCTAAAAAGCCCTGTGAAAGCAGAAATTCCAATCCCATTGTGCTGGTAGAAAAACAGGTTGAAGGGCTTGATCTGTAAGGTGACATGCTGGCAGGCAACAGAGCTGGCTTTGGAGTTCAGAGCTACTGGATGCTCACCTTACTGTGTGTGCATGTCAGGATTCAGATGATCTGTGTATAACACACACCCAAATTAGCAACAGTTAATTATGCTTAAGTATAGAGGCTGGCTCAGTTGATAGGACTGCTGTGGCGGTCCCCAGACCCAGGTCCTTTCAGCTAGCCCCTTCACCACTCCTCTATGATGAGGTCTTTTCTTCATGGCTCAACATGGCTGCTGAAAT